GCGCAGGATGTCTTCTCTTGGGGAAATAAGATCTCTTTTTGGCGAATGGGCCAAAGTTCGTCCCATAAAAGACAATGAGCGTTTTTAAATGGCCAGAGGTTTGATTATAGGAAGTCAATGAAATAAAAATGGACATTTTTAATGAGATTGAAGGGAAAAGTACTTTTTCGTACAATTATGGTACGAAATTGCCATTTTTTTTCCTACACACTGTAATTTTTGTTACAGGTACATTTCAAATATCGGAAATTTCGGATACATCCTCTTGCTAAAATTATACATAAATAGTTATATATACCTTTTGGTACTTTTTATACCTTTCAGTACTGTTGATACGATTGCAGTACAAGTTTCGCAAACTCCAATCATAAACCCCAAGAGAGAGAGAGAGAGCCATATTTTTTTACCCTCCACCATAGTATGGAGGGTATATTAAGTTTATCATTCCCTCTCGATATATACATTTTAGACCCCCCAAACGGATATATATTCTTGATCAGCATAAAATTCTATGTCGATTTAGCGATGTCCGTCCGTCTATCCGTCTGTGGAAATCATTCTAACTTCCGAATAAAATAAAGTAGGTTGACAAAATTTGACTCAAATGTGTATTATGTCTGCAGAACTTTTGGTATTGAAAATGGGCCATATAGGTCCAAGTCTTCGTATAGCTCCCATATAACGGTACCTCCCGATATTCGTTATTTTGATGATTTAAGCGACATTATTCACCGGAATTGTTTTAAATTTGATATTTGAAGTTCGAAATGGAGACTAAAACCTAACACAGAAAATTGTCTTTCCGGGTCAACATTTTGGTATAGCCCCCATATAATAGTACCCCCCGATATTCGGTATTTTGATGATTTTAGCGACATTATTTACTGGAATTGTTTCAAATTTCGCATTTGAAGTTCGTAACGGATACTACAGCCTATGACAGACAATTGTCTGTGCAGGTCCACGTCTTCGTACAGCCCCCATATAATAGTACCTCCCTTTATTGATGATTTTAGCTACATCATTCACCAAATTTTCTTTTTCCAAGTTTCGCATTTGAATATTGTAATGGCATATGACAAAAGTTGTCTATGCAGGTCCACGTCGTCGTTTATATCCTAATATAACGGCTACATTTGGTATTTTTACAATTTTTCAACGGATTTTATTTTTTTGAAAATTGCCAAATTCGCTCTAAATGGTGGAGGGTATTCAAAGTTCGGCCCAGCCGAACTTAGAGTTTTTTACTTGTTTATAACAATTTTATAGAAGAACAGGCTGGCTACTCATGGAGAACTATGGACTCTTTTTTAGAGATGGGCCAAATCTCGTCCCATAGAAGACAATGTGGGTTTTTAGGGTTCTTGCTGTTTCCACTGAGGTTAGATATCGCTAGCCGTAGTACACATCATTTCTAAAAAAAATATTCCTACACCCTAGAAATATCTTGGATTTTTTATGCGGCAATCATGTTCCCTGTGTCCCTCTCTCCCCCTCTCTCTTTTTCCTAATTCTAATTCCCCCCATAAATTTAAATTAATTTTAATTTCATGGCCATTTCTATTCACGAATATCTAAACGGAAGCTCGCCGAATAAAACACAACATGATTTGTGTTTTTCTGTTTTCGTTTTGCTTGCGTTACAATGTTTCCTGTTTGTCGAAATTCTAGAGAGAGGGACCGAGAGAGGGAATAAACACGTACTCCACATATACATGTTATAAGTTGTTAAGTATGTGCGTGAATGAATGAGTGTCTGTGTGTGTGTGTGTGAAAATATTTTTTGATGCCAAACCACAATTATGTTGTCTGTTAGGAGTAGACCTCCCACTTTTCCTTTTTTTTGGCCCAGTTATTCCCAAACAAAACTGAACTTCATAGAAAATAGAGAGAGAGAGAGAAGGAGAGAGAAAAAAACTAACAAGAAAACCAAAACAAAACCCCAAATCAGTTCACGTAAATGAATAACAAATTTTCATTTCAAATATAATTAAGAGGGAAATTTTCAGTTTCCAAACAACCCCACTCCCCCCTTCCCCTCTCACATTGGTTGGAGGTTAAAATACGAGGAATTCCATATTCATTTTATCAATGGGCAAATATAGAGCAAAGCCTGGCTGATGAATAGAAGTTAGAAAATTTCTACTTGTTGTTGTAGTTAGTGTTTTGTTGTTGTTGTTGTATTTCCTTTAGTAAACCCACAATGAGTTCTGCATGCCATGGCTGTGTGTGTGCGCAAATTTTTGACATGATTTATAATGAAATAAATCACAACAATGTTGGCAAACAAGCTTGAATGTTAAAAAAAAGAGAGAGAGAGAGAGAGAGAGAGAAAGAGAAAAAATTACGAAATAAAAAAGGAAAGGAATGCTTGGGAAGTTATCCTAAGAGATGAATTTTGATTTTTCAGAAAATTCTCAGAAGAATCCCAACCCTGGTACAAACCCAACTGCCCTGTTAGGGGTTTTTCTGATAGGAGACCAAAATATCCGTCAGTTTTTGGTTCGTTTTCGTACATCTTGGACCTTTTTAGTAAAAATTCCCTAAAATAAATTGGTGATCTTTGAATAACATTTCAAGATTGAAAAGGGAAAGAATGGTTTGAAGGTAATTCGAAGAGAGCACAATTAAACTTTAATAGAAGGTACGCAGACAAAATCTCAACCCTGGGGAAACCCAACTGCTCTGTTTGGGGGTTTTTAAGAGGATACCAGAATAATAATCATTATTTGGTACTTTTTCGTACATCTCGGACCCTTTTTAGTAAAAATTCCCTAAAATACATCTGCATAGGTGGCGATCCTTTGACATAATTTCAAGGGAATGAGTGGCAAGTAATCGAAGATAAAAAAGTAAAAAAGCTGTAAGTTCGGCCGAGCCGAACTTTGAATGCCCTCCACCATTTGGAACGAATTTGGCGATTCTCAAAAACAATGAAATCCGTTAAAAATTCTATTAAAATTTTAAAAATACCAAATTTTGCTGTCATATTAGGGTCTATACGACGACCGATTTAAAAAAAATCGGTAATAATGCAGATAACATCATCAAAATACCGAATATCGGAAGGTACCATTATATGGGGGCTCTACGAAGACGTGGACCTGCACAAACAATTTTCTGTCTTATGCTGTGGTATTCATTACGAACTTCAAATACCAAATTTGAAACAATTCTGGTGAAAATATGTCCAAAAAAATCAGTAAAATACCGAATATCGGGAGGTACCGTCACATGGGGGCTATACGAAGATATGGACCTGCAAAGACATTTTTTTGTCTTAGGCTGTAGTATCCTTTACGAACTTCAAATACCACATTTGAAACAATTCCGGTTAAAAATGTCCATAAAATCATCAAAATACCGAATATCGGGAGATCCCGTTATATGGGGGCTATACGAAGACGTGGACCTGCACAGAAAATGTTTCGTCTTAGGCTGTAGTATCCATTACGAACTTCAAATACCAAATTTGAAACAATTCCCGTGAAAAAATGTCCATAAAATCATTAAAAAACCGAATATGGGGAGGTACCGTTACATGGGTGCTCTACGAAGACGTGGACCTTCATAGACAATTTTTTGTCATAGGCTGTAGCATCCACTGCGAACTTCAAATAATAAATACCAAAACAATTCCGGTGAAAAATGTCGCTAAAATCATTAAATTACCGAATATGGGGAGGTACCGTTACATGGGGGCTATACCAAAACGTGGGCCTACATGGCCAATTTTCAATACCAGAATTCCTGCAGATATAACATGCATTTGAGTAAAATTTTATCAATCTACTTCAATTCGTTCGGAAGCTAGAGTGATTTCCACAGACGGTTAGACGGACAGACGGTAGGACATCGCTAAATCGACTTAGAATTTTATGCTGATCAAGAATATATATCCTTTTGGGGGGTCTAAAATGTGTATTTCGAGGTGTTACAAACCGAGTGACAAACTTAATATACCCTCCATACTATGGTGGAGGGTATAATAAAAAATTTAAGACAAATTCTAGCTTTTTGTACCATTTCTGACGCATTTCCAAAATATGCTTTAAAATAATGATGTTTTAGAAGACCGTAACTACGACCGTAAATCCCATATCTATGGTGGAATATATGGTACCTATTTTCCCTCTTATCTGAATTTTTAGAACCTAAGGGTACCAATTTGCCAAAATTCCAGGATTCCATACCCCATGCAAAATGTCAAGATTTACAGGCCTATTATTTATCCGTTCGCAATTGGTAAGTTAATGCTCTTTGCCATATCTTTAAATATTTTTAGATGGCTATCCTTCCCCTCACATGCCTCCACAAAGTTGCTGCGTCATAATTCCTAGCTCCGCATGATGATTATAATTTTTTTCATTCCTCATTTCATGTTTTTTTCCTCGTCTTTTTTTGGGTTAAAAATTTTTTCCAAAGCCACTTGTTTGCCTCAGAGCAGCAAAGCACAACAACCACAAGGCATTTGGATCCACAACTGGATTCCAAACATGATTTCATGTTAATGAGTCGTTAGTAATTTTTAATGATGTTGTTAATATTCGAGAGATGGCAGGCAAGCAACAAAGGCAATGGGAGACAGCAACACCCTTACTCTCAAAAAAATCAAAGAAGAGAGATATGGTGGCAAGGAGAGAGAGAGAGGTAAGAGTGGAGCCAAAAAAAAGTATTTACACAACACTCACCCTCAGAACGGAAGTGTTGCTAATTTGTAACTAATTAAGTTGTTGAGATTGCTTGCCAACCTTACCCCTCGCAACTCTCCTACACCCTACCCCCACTTCCACCCTCCATCAACAACACCAAGAAAATTGCCCAGGAGGAGCCTGACAGGCAAATTTATGGTAAAAACATACTTAAAGTTGGCGAGTGCTTTTGGCATATGAGAGAGCACTTAACACAGATATGCTTCCAACGGCTGACACGCACACACACACATGTATTTCAGACGGAAATACACACACACACACGCGTTCTTATATTTATACACTTACCTTGATAAATTGAAACGTCGCCATGGGCGGCAAACGTTTACTTTTCGGATAGAAAAAACTACCAGCCGGATGTGCGGGATAACGCGATGTGATACGATAGATAACACCCTGCGGCGATGTCGGCCAATTGGGAGCGGTGAAGGTAAAGCCATTGTCCGTACCGGCATCCAGGGGGTCCATTTCAACGGTGACCGTATCTATCCAGGAGCCGCCGACGCAGAGCTGGAAAAAGAGGAGGGGAAACATTAGATTAAAATGACGACAAGGGACTAAAAGGCTCGACTAGGAAAAATGCTATGAAGAAGATCTCCAGGTCTTCTAAGAAGAAGACCTCTAGGTGTTCTCTAAAGAAGACCTGTAGGTCTTCTATAAAGAAGACCTGTAGGTCTTCTATACGAAGACCAGTAGGTCTTCTATACGAAGACCAGTAGGTCTCCTATACGAAGACCAGTAGGTCTTCTATAAAGAAGACCTCCAGGTTTTCTATGGAGAAGACCACCCAGGTCTTCTATGGAGAAGACCAGCCAGGTCTTCTATGGAGAAGACCAGCCAGGTCTTCTATGGAGAAGACCAGCCAGGTCTTCTATGGAGAAGACCAGCCAGGTCTTCTATGGAGAAGACCAGCCAGGTCTTCTATGGAGAAGACCAGCCAGGTCTTCTATGGAGAAGAGCAGCCAGGTCTTCTATGGAGAAGAGCAGCCAGGTCTTCTATGGAGAAGAGCAGCCAGGTCTTCTATGGAACATAGAAGACCTCCAGCTCTTCTATGGAGAACATAGAAGACCTCCAGCTCTTCTATGGAGAACATAGAAGACCTCCAGCTCTTCTATGGAGAACATAGAAGACCTCCAGCTCTTCTATGGAGAACATAGAAGACCTCCAGCTCTTCTATGGAGAACATAGAAGACCTCCAGCTCTTCTATGGAGAACATAGAAGACCTCCAGCTCTTCTATGGAGAACATAGAAGACCTCCAGCTCTTCTATGGAGAACATAGAAGACCTCCAGCTCTTCTATGGAGAACATAGAAGACCTCCAGCTCTTCTATGGAGAACATAGAAGACCTCCAGCTCTTCTATGGAGAACATAGAAGACCTCCAGCTCTTCTATGGAGAACATAGAAGACCTCCAGCTCTTCTATGGAGAACATAGAAGACCTCCAGCTCTTCTATGGAGAACATAGAAGACCTCCAGCTCTTCTATGGAGAACATAGAAGACCTCCAGCTCTTCTATGGAGAACATAGAAGACCTCCAGCTCTTCTATGGAGAACATAGAAGACCTCCAGCTCTGCTCTTCTATGGAGAACATAGAAGACCTCCAGCTCTTCTATGGAGAACATAGAAGACCTCCAGCTCTTCTATGGAGAACATAGAAGACCTCCAGCTCTTCTATGGAGAACATAGAAGACCTCCAGCTCTTCTATGGAGAACATAGAAGACCTCCAGCTCTTCTATGGAGAACATAGAAGACCTCCAGCTCTTCTATGGAGAACACAGAAGACCTCCAGCTCTTCTATGGAACAGAGAAGACCTCCAGCTCTTCTATGGAGAACATAGAAGACCTCCAGCTCTTCTATGGAACAGAGAAGACCTCCAGCACTTCTATGGAACAGAGAAGACCTCCAGCTCTTCTATGGAGAAGAAGAAGACCTTCAGCTCTTCTATGGAGAACATAGAAGACCTCCAGCTCTTCTATGAAGAAGAAGAGGACCTCCAGCTCTTCTAATAAGAAGACCACCTCAATGGCTTCAATGAAGAAGACGATCTCCAGCTGTTCTATGCTCTTCTATGAAGAAGTTTTGCAGCTTTTCTATCAAGAAGACCTCCAGGTTTTCTGTTCTCCTCGAGAAGAGACAGAGACTCCTGCTCTTCTACCTCTTCTCCTTCTGTTCGTTTTCTTCCTCTTCCCATTTTCAAATTTACGAATTTCATATTCCGTTTCCCTTACAAAACTCCTGCAGCATGCCATTGGGTAATTTGTATTAAACACTTTTTACATGCAACTACTTAATTTCCCCCCCCCCCATTTTTTCCCACAGCTGCCTCCCACTCTCTTAACCCATCACTTCCGTGAAACGGAAACATCGTTTAATAAAGTTGCTACCTCACTTACCTGAAACGAATCGACCCCTATGAACCAATCGGGCGAGGGTACGATGCGTGTCATTAATGACACCAAACTGTGATTGCTGTCGACAAAGAATTTCGCTTCACTGCGTCCCGCACCCTGGCTGATGGCTGGTAAATTGAATTCATCGAAAATGTTACGCTCGCCAGAGCCGGCGGCCAGCGTGTTATGATTGTTGCGTGTTGTTGTTGTGGTGGTGGTCGACGACGACGATGTCGTCGTTGTGGCCGTCGAACTAGATGTTGATGATTTCTCCACTTGGACTTTTTGTTGTTGTAATTGCAGTTGTTGTTGCTCACCTAATGGCGTATCCAATATTTCGCTTTTGCCCGTTTCGGCAAATTGTTTAACACCGGATGTGGCCTGTTGGCCGATGTGATACAAGGCGTATTTGGCGTCGTGTGTACGTCCTGGAAGGAGAACAGAGAAAAAAATGGTAAAAGGAGGTTCCAATTAGGTAAAGGCAAATCAATAGCTGTTATTTCAGGTTATTTTTCCGTTTTTTTGCTGTGGGGAAATTTAATGGCTGGCTACTAAATTGCTGCAATTTGAAATGTGAGCCATTTAAATTTTGTAATATGTCAGGTTAATTTTATATTTCTAGCTTGCGGGCTTATTGTAATTATAGTGGCTCTGAAGCGTTGACAGCTTAGGGTTTCACAAAAGGGAATGATAGAATTTTTACAAAAAAAAATAAGAGAATTATCTGAAGATCCCAAAAATATCCCAGTTTATTTCTGAGAATCCGAAAAGAAAAAATCCGCTTTGAAGTTTTCAAAATATGACAAGAGATATAGGGTGAGGTAAAAAGACACTGCAACAAAGTCAAACGCCATAATTTTTAGATTTTTTTTTTTTTAATTTCATTGAATAAAAGCAAAAAAGATCGGAAATAGCATCAAATTTTAGAATAAGTTTAGATTTGTTCGAATTGGTCACTTCGGACACAAATTATGGCCAATGAAACCGTCACACGCTGCCCAAATGTTGCTCTGCGGTATTTTTGCCCATTCCCGGCGAGGAGCTTGCTTGAGGTCATCGACACTTTGGTATTTTTTAGTGCGAACCTTACTTTCCAAAATACTCCAGATACAACAGGTCCAACGGACTGGTATCCGGAGGCTTTTTGTGGTTGCCATTGTGCACTGGAAATGAAGCGAGGAACCTCATTTTGTAACCATTCTTGGGTGGCGCGTGCTGAGTGCGATGGTGCTGGTCCTGTTGGGATGTCCAAGGTCTGTGGGCCAAATGTTTGCGTGCCGAAGGCTTTGACACACCCTCCTGTATAATTTCGCGATAATATTCGGTATTTTTTGGTATTTTCAAGTGCCAACCTTGCTTTCCAAAATACTCCCGACACAATATTCCCACGGATTGGCATCCGGAGATTTTGGTGGTGCGCTGGAAATGATGCGAGAAACCTCATTTTGTAACCTCTCACCATGGCCGACGCTTGAGTTCTGGTGGCCAACCAACCAAATGTTGTTCTGCACTATTTTGGCTCATTCCCGGCGAAGCGCTTGCTTGAGGTGATCGACACTTTGGTATGTTTTAGTGTCAACCTTGCTTTCCAAAATACTCCAGACAAAATAGTCCAACGGATTGGTATCCGGAGATTTTGATGGCTAGTGTGCGCTGGAAATGATTCGAGAAACCTCATTTTAGTAACCATTCTTGGGTGGCACGTGCTGAGTGCGAGAGTGAGTGTCGGAATATCCAAAGGTCTGCGGCCAAAATGTTTGCTGGCCCAAGACGTTAATACACCCTCCAGAATTTTTTCGCTATAATATTCGGCATTTATTCTGATGCCATGGTAGTTTAATACGAGCGGAGAGCGACCGTCGGCTGTTATGGCGGCCCACACCATCACCACGGCCGGCATGTGGCTTGAGTTCTGGTGGCCAAACGAAGGTGCACATTTGACCATCAGCTGACCTCTTTGGTAGGACAACGAATGTTTTCACTTTCGGCCAAGCAACTCAACGAAGCAACTCTTTAGCTCTTTTGAGTCTATTTTCTTTCTGTTGCGATGCAAGTTCTTGCACTTTTTGGAATTTCAATGGCATTACCCCGATCTCATTTTTCAAAATTTACCGATTGGAATATTGCGATATGTTCATCGGAGAAAACCAAATTCGGCAGTTCACCACTTTCGGCCAAACAACTCATCAGCGTAACGACAAGCGATGGTACGAGACACAAAATATTTATTCACATTTAAATGCAGAAGTGTTCTAACGATAGCCACCTGTGATTTTCCAGCCAAATATAAAGAAATCACACCATCCCGCTTGAATTCCATCACGAATAACTTTTTTCCGGGAAAATTCTAACCAAAATGCTTTTGTACGCTTGTAATCAATATAATGACCTGTCACTGGGAGAATATTAACAGCTGTCGGTCGAATGGCTTAGAAATGACAGCAATCTGAAGTTGGTTGCAGTTTTTCATCTATTTAAAGAATATTTACTGAGGGTAACCCTTGGCGTATGAGTGCTGCTGAAACGTATACGCCACCCTGGCTCTCAATTCTAAAAAATACATCACTCCAATAATTGTTTTTTTTTCTAATTTCTCTTCAATCTAAACACCATTTTTTCAGAATTATAATTATTCCCCTATCCTTGCCTGCCATCGTGATGGAAAAATACGAAATTAGAAAAAAAAACTACAACCCAAAACAATATTGAAATAACTTGCTGTCATATTATAACCACAAGATAACACATTATGATTGCAATTGACCATGATATTTAATGCTCTTTTATTTTATTTTTTTGCGAAAAAACAACAACAACAATAGCAAAAAATATGTTTGTCAGTCGATGCCATACATATCCATTTCCACATCCATATTTTTATTTGACTATTATGGCCAGCTGCAACAGCTGCAACATATTGGCTCACAAATCTGCATTCAACGAGCAAGCGGAAGTAAGAATATCCCAACAACAACAATAATAATAAAATTATGCAAGGATTTATTTATCGGAGAGGAGAGGATTATTTTATTGAAAATTGTAATTTATTCCTGGATAAGTTGGGCACTTATGCCAGCACACATACACACGCATTACACATATCATTCATATCAGTTGCCAGATATTAAAGTATTAAATATTATTTACTTAATTCCCATGCGATTGCCGATGAAATTGTGGTATTAATTTTAAATATTTGGAGGCAATTAGGGCAATGGGCAGGTCCTTTCATCAAGGATATTGTGAAATTCCTAAGAGTAAAAGGAAATTTTCAGTTTTTTTTTTGATTACATGGATAGGAAGTTTTAACTGGCAGATAGAGAGTTAGGTATACGTTATGACATTAAGCATACGCCCAAGGGTACTTTAATATCTCCTGAATATGTTCTATATCCAATAGAATACCTGGAGGTCTTCTTCACTAGAAGTCCCTTACGTTTTCAATAATAAATAGAAGAGCTGGAGGTCTTCTATCTTCCATAGAAGACCTGGAGGTTTTCTATACTCAATAGAAGAGCTGGAGGTCTTCTATGTTCCAAAGAAGACCTGAAGGTCTTCTATACTCCATAGAAGACCTGAAAGTCTTCCATACTCCATAGAAGACTTGGAGGTCTTCTATACTCCATGGAAGACCTGGAGGTTTTCTATACTCCATAGAAGAGACCTGGAGATTTTCTATGCTCCATAGAAGAGCTGGATGTCTTCTACGTTCCATAGATAAGCTGGAGGTCTTCTATATTCCATAGAAGACCTTGAGGTCTTCTATCTTCAATAGCAGAGCTGGAGGTCTTCTATGTTCCATAGAAGAGCTGGAGGTCTTCTCTGTTCCATAGAAGAGCTGGAGGTCTTCTCTGTTCCATAGAAGAGCTGGAGGTCTTCTCTGTTCCATAGAAGAGCTGGAGGTCTTCTCTGTTCCATAGAAGAGCTGGAGGTCTTCTCTGTTCCATAGAAGAGCTGGAGGTCTTCTCTGTTCCATAGAAGAGCTGGAGGTCTTCTCTGTTCCATAGAAGAGCTGGAGGTCTTCTATACTCCATAGAAAACCTGGAGGTCTTCTATGCTCCTTAGAAGAGCTGGAGGTCTTCTATGCTCCATAGAAGAGCTGGAGGTCTTCTATGCTCCATAGAAGAGCTGGAGGTTTTCTATGCTCCATAGAAGAGCTGGAGGTCTTCTATGCTCCATAGAAGAGCTGGAGGTCTTCTATGCTCCATAGAAGAGCTGGAGGTCTTCTATGCTCCATAGAAGAGCTGGAGGTCTTCTATGCTCCATAGAAGAGCTGGAGGTCTTCTATGCTCCATAGAAGAGCTGGAGGTCTTCTATGCTCCATAGAAGAGCTGGAGGTCTTCTATGCTCCATAGAAGAGCTGGAGGTCTTCTATGCTCCATAGAAGAGCTGGAGATCTTCTATTTTCCATAGAAGAGCTGGAGATCTTCTATGTTCCATAGAAGAGCTGGAGGTCTTCTATGTTGCATGGAAGAGCTGGAGGTCTTCTATGTTCCATAGAAGAGCTGGAGGTCTTCTATGTTCTATAGAAGAGCTGGAGGTTTTCTATGTTCCATAGAAGAGCTGTTGCATAGAAGAGCTGGAGGTCTTCTCTGTTCCATAGAAGAGCTGGAGGTCTTCTCTGTTCCATAGAAGAGCTGGAGGTCTTCTATACTCCATAGAAAACCTGGAGGTCTTCTATGCTCCTTAGAAGAGCTGGAGGTCTTCTATGCTCCTTAGAAGAGCTGGAGGTCTTCTATGCTCCATAGAAGAGCTGGAGGTCTTCTATGTTCCATAGACGAGCTGGAGGTCTTCTATGTTCCATAGACTAGCTGGAGGTCTTCTATGTTCCATAGAAGAGCTGGAGGTCTTCTGTATTCTATAAATACAGGGTGAGATGAAAAAACTTCAACCAACTACAGGCTGCTGTCATTTCTAAGCCACTCGTCCGACAGCTGTTAACATTACTCAGCACCATCGACCTAAGCACGCGCCACCCAAGAATGGTTACAAAATAAGGTTCCTCGCTTCATTTCCAGCGCACAGTGGCCACCAAAATCTCCGGATACCAATCCGTTGGACTATTGTGTCTGGAGTTTTTTTTTTTTTTTGGAAAATAAGGTTGGCACTAAAAACTACAAAAGTGTTGATAACCTCATGCAAGCGCTTCGCCGGGAATAGGTCAAAATACCGCAGAGTAACATTCGGGCAGCGCGTGACGATTTCATTGACCGTTTGAAGGCCATAATTCGTGCCATAGCCGACCAATCCAAACAAATCTAAACTTATTCTAAAATTTGATGCTATATCCGACAGTTTTTCTTTCATTCAATAAAATTAAAAAAATTTAAATATTATGGCGTTTGACTTTTTTGCAATTTTTGCTCAGCCCTATAAGTCCTCTGTTATATTTTGAAAAAGAAATCCTAAAATTTCCATTCCTTTTTCC